TGTGCACTGTAAGTGCTGAAGCAGAAAAGTGCAGGAGGACAGAAGAAAATAGGAAGTGAGACCCCAGGAAGAAAAGGTTGTGATGGTTTTATGATAATCAAATACTAGTAGATGATTGTGTTCATTGGTATTGTAAGACCTCACTAATTCATTTTGCAGCTGGAAAGTTCTGCAAAAAGACAAGCTGATCACCAACCTGTCTGAAAGGTAAATATTCATGGAAAACATTTTTTTCTTACTTCATAATAAATGAAGTTCTGATTTTCATAATAAATGTTGAAGAATAAGCCTTCAGAAGTGTACACATATGTATACTTACTTACTGCACCTATAGCTGCTCATTTTCTTTGATTTACTTGTTTTTTTGATCCGTACTTCTTTCAGAAGCAAATGGTGAATTTCAGAAATATTGCTGAACTAAAGTGTCTGGCTCATTTCAATTTGTTATGTGGCATAAAGCAGGACAGTGCTTCTGGTGCCTGGTGACAGCAACTAGGGTAAGTTTCGATTGATAGATAAGCCCACAGTGCTGCTGCAAATTTGGAGGAAGACAAAATAAAAACACCATGAGGCAAGTTTGCAAGTGCGCTGACCATGTGGGAGAGAAAAGGTGAGAAGGATCTTTTCTCCCTTTCCTTATGTTTCTTTTAGCTTAAAAAATGAAATGAAATGTTCACCCAAGGTTTGTTGCCAAATATGAAGCACAAAAACCAATCAGAAGGAAGGGAAAAGGCAACGCTGCCAGCAGCAAGACACTGATCTCTGCTCGTAACAGAACTATTCCTAGAAGTATTATTCTTCCTCCCACTTCATGCAAGAGGGCATACAATGGGGAAATTACATATGTCACATGGAGCTATAAAGGGGAGATGTTAGTAAGAACAGCCTTGGTCATGTACTTTCCTATTGAGAACAAGGTAAATGTAACCATTTACCATCTCCAAATCTTCAAAACTTGTTATGCAGACAGTATACATTTAAGAACGCCCATCTTGTCAAACAGCATTAGTAACAAACTCACACATTATTTTGCCTCTAAATATATAAATATTTTTAAGACAACTCCAATACACTATAATGAAATCTACTAAAGCAATCATCATACAAATGTATGTTATGCATTGATGGTCATTTTCTGAAACAAGCGAAATTCTGATTTCTCTCACAGTACCCCACGAAAAAAAAAGAAATAGCAAATAGTGTAAAATGAATCTCGACTCTTTTTTCTTCTTAGGATTAAGGGTTGAAGTATTGGAATAGTATGATAGGAAGTTGCAGGAAGAAGAACAAAGAATAGACTTAGACCGAAACAGGAACTAAGACGACATGAAAGGCTTCAAACATTCCCTTTTAATTGAAATGTACTGTAATTAAAGCCAATTTTGATAATGGAGAGCATTATGGGTTTTACTCACATTTTATTCATTCCTTCTTTTTCACTTAGGCAGAGATAGGATTCTCTTTACTCCTTAGTACTGCCAGAAATGCCAGACAAAAGCCCAAATCTTTGATTTCAACAAACATACAGAACTTGGCAAATGTTGCCCTTGATAGCTTACTTCTAGGGATAATCTTTAGAAATGTAGCAAAATTCTTTACAACGTCCTATTTGTAATCCTCAACCCACTTAAGACTGATTTAGTTATCAGAGGGAAGTAAACAAGATGTATCTTACAGTCTCTGCAGCTTACATCTTTCCTGACCTCCAGCAAGACATACCCAGACTTGCCCACTGTAATATGGGATGAATGCCACTGGTCTTTGGCATGGGCTGACAGTTTTTTCTGTATCCAGCAGAGCCGACAGAATTCGTCACTGTATTTCTCCCCGTTACTCGTCATGTTCATACCAGAGTTTAGCCCCATTGAACAATGTGGGAAGACAGAACATTGCAAGAAATCCACAATTCTCTAGCTACAATAACCTGATGAGCGCACACAGTTTAAGCAGGTGTTCTGAGCTAGCGTCACCAACTCTGCCCAGCCATGCAGTACAGCTGGGAATATGGGGATTTCTAGCAAAGATGAAATGACAAGTAATTTGGCATCTTTTTTTTTTTTTTCAGAGGCCTAGCCAGATGCAGAAAAGGACCCATGTCCACAGCTATATAAAACCATGATGGCAGTTAGCTATTCTAGTCCCACCCCCAGGCAAAATAGGTCCCGTGCGCACCTCAGTTCCACTTCAACCTGCTTGGTTTAAAATTAAACAATTTATTTGCAAGTGCTATTCCCCTATAGCAGTTCTGGGGACTGGAACGCTCTCTCCTCCACACTGTGCTTCTCTAATGACTGATCAGGCCCAGCAGTGACACGTGTATTCTGTGGAGATTACACTTTTCGTTAATTGGCCATGTTCAATATAAAGAAAAGGAGCGGGATAAATAGATTAATCTGGTTCCGTACAAGCCATGGTGGCAGATGAAAAGAGCACTGAACAGAGAGAATGAAGGAAACATGAAATAAGCAAATTACACAGACACAAGATTAGTTCAGGCTTTCCGTGGATCACAAGAATTGGATTTTATCACTCCAGATAAGACATCCCACACTGCTACCAATTCAAAGCCTATCTGCAATGATTGCATTTTATGTACCAGTGCATATGGGCATGACTGCAGTTATAATCTGCAAGTTACAGTTTTATGCTTGACGTTACAAGCATAAAGTGAGCATTTTAATCTGGCCAGGTATTAAGTCATACATCTTGGAAGAAACAACACAGGCAATACTGACAGAAACAGAGCAGTGACTTGAAAAGCAGCAGTTTTAAAAAAAGATACAAGTCTTGGCTGAGAAGTTGTCTAAACACAAGTTCCTAATGGTGAAAAGGGGATATGCCTAACAATGCATATAGTATTTCTTTTTGATTTGGTGCTGGTATGGCCCATGTGCCCTTTGCTAACATTCACGTTTGAAGAGGAATGTGAATAATCTTGAAAAGTTTCAGAGAAAACAGACACGTGAGAACTCTTAAGGATTAGAAAGTACAAAGCTCTTAGTGGTTCAGCACATAGAGGCTTTTCAAGAGACGACTACGGGTTACTTTGGCCTCAACCTATATATTCCTACAGGGAAAAATAACAGAAACATTGTCAGTCCAGTAGACAAAGTCTATAACTGCTACTAAGACTGGAAATTACCATTTGGAAATCTGTACCAGAAATAATGCAAAGTCTTAAGGGAGAAGGCAATTATTTGAGGATTTTACCAGAGGAAATAGTGGTGTTTCCATCGTGTGCTATTTAAAAATCAAGATTGGATGTTCTTTTCCAAAAGCCCATGTTTTTGTCTTAATCAGCCCATGAATATCCTATGTGTCATACAGAATCTCAGACTAGGCAATCACAAATCTCCCCTCTGGGCATATAAGCTATTAATACATATTTCTAAATTCATGCAGACTGAATAAACTGAGAAAGATATATATGTCAGTGAAAAAACCCCTAGTGACTAAGCAACTATCTTGTTCCCTAAATCCAGCTAGTATTCAACAGGTTGTTCTGCTGATATGCACTACAAATCAGGTCAGGAAGTATAGATGATTATTACATGCAGCTGTTCCTGAGAGACTGATAATCAGATCAAGAACTAAACATACAAGAGCCTCAGCTAGAAAAGGATCCCAGCTCTGAATGAAAGGATCCCAGCTCTGCTCCAACATTCTGCAGACAGAAGAAGAGACTGCAGATGGGGGCATACTAAATCATTCTGTACCATGAGCCAAATAGAGTAACTGTCACAGTATTTACTACAATGCAAAGCAATATTTCCTTTTAAGACACAGATTACATAGCTTAATGCAATAACCCCAAATATAAACCTGAGAGATCACAATTGAACATGCACAGCTAATATACATACTTTTCTCAGCACAGTAGCCAAGCAGTATTCAGCTCTACCTTTTTGCTACCACTGGTAACATCCTCCCATTTCTCTTAAGTTTTTGTTTTGTTTTGTCTCACAGAGGGACCATTTACTTGTAGCTATCATTTTTTAAGAATTTATTCTGCATAATACAGTTATCAGAATAAATGTTGCTTCTGTGGTTCAGAAAACTGTGCAAGACTGATATTCTCATGAGAAGGAAGAGAAAAGCAAAGAAAATGTGAGACATGGCTGCTCTCACACTGTCATACTGTTTGGTCCCATGTATGGCACAGCATGTACTGATCAGTTCCTTTTTCAGTTGACAAAAGGCTTGAAATAAGTCTTTCCAGGCAGGAGGGAAGGCATAGAGTATATAGGCACACAGAGGTAGAGCTATTAGCTATTTCTTCCTAATAACTTGGAAGAAATCCAGTTATTAGTAAGTTTGAAAACTGAATGAGACACACACTCTCCCAGGTGTGGCAGCCTGGATGAAGGAGCTCCAGAAAAGGACAGTGGACAAAAAGCAGAGACCACTGTGAGCTTAACAGCACAATATACCCTAACTTGGTGAAAATATGACCAAACGCCAGTGTTGTTATTCTGCAGCTCTTGTCTGCAGAAGGGAGACAACAGAGTAATTGCAATATTTAAGAAACTCTGATATTATTACAGGGAGCTAAAATGAGATTGAACACTTCTAGGGTCTTTAGTGAAACACAACTTCCAGTTCAAAATGCAGCACATTTTTGGTTGCAGATATAAGAAAAGAAATGACTGAAAGACACATTTGCTTATGACTGACTGAAGTTCACAAAGCCTCTGACACCTCCAATTTCCCATTCGTTCTAACAGCTTCTGCATTTTCCAAAATTATTATGATATCAAGACTATAAAATTTTTTTATTCTATCAGAAAGGTGTGTATCAATAGGAAAGGATCCACATCAATCTAGACAGAAGTTTCCTCAGCAGAGAGACTTCAAAATGTTCAACTTAATTATTTAAATATGTTTATTTTCAGAAAAAGAACTGAATTGATTTAGAGAAGGGATATTTTTATATTTAGAGTTATGCTTTATTATATTGATAAAAATAAATTTGCTTAAGTATATGAGTATAGAAAACTCACCTTCCAGAAATTATCTACTTTGCCATAAACGAGAGATTGATTCTGCCTTTTGATGTCATTAATGTGTTTAATGTCACTGGAATTCAGATGCTGCTCTACCACAAATCCAAGGAAGCTGTTATCCGGAGTGTGAGCTGTAAGAAATGGAGCATATTCAAAACCTTTTCAAGTATCAGTTAATGTTAGAAAAGCATGAATGTTGTCAGAAAAGTAGGTATAGGGAACATATTATTCAACAGATCACTTCCTTCACACTCATACTGAGAGATACATTTGCTTACTTTATTATTGAGAATACTTATTATTTATTTTAAGTCCTGCTGCATATGTCTACTAAAGTAAGCAGTTATTTTCTGGCTTGTTTCTGACAATAAAAATTTTGTAGCTGGACCGAGGCCAATGATAATGATTTTTTGTGTGCTGAGCTTTATCTTATTATTAGAGATAAGAGAACCGGAAGAAATCCAGCTTGACAATCTCAGAGATGCAATACCAACAATTTGAAAAAAAAAAACCCCTGGATTTATGCTTGTTAACAAAGCTGTATATTGCCCAATGTCACAAATAAATTTTAGTAAATTTCTTGGGTTCACCTCCTATGTTGGAAGAGCTAATTCCAACCATTCAACTCACTGCATATTACATTTCCATGCTAATTACAAGCCTACAAAGTCACACTACACAGATCAGAATACAAATTTCACTGCCTAATTCACTCAGATAGATCTATCATAAAATATTGAAAGGTGACAACTGAAGTTGGCAAAATTGTCGTTAATCCAACGCCCAGACAAAAAAGTGCATACAAAGGATATGCAATTTACTCCTAGTTTTCTGTATTATTTTTAGCCTCTGTTGGTCTTTTTCCAGCAGTGATATCCAGCAATACTAGCCACTGTTTTCCTCCTACAAAGACACAGACCTATAGGCTCATTAAAACTAAGGTTTTTTGCTGTTTTGTTTGGTTGGTTTTTTTTTTCTTTTTGTAGGCAGGGTGTTTAATTCCAGGGATGGACTGCAACATTCAAGGCTTCAGGTAAAAATCCATCCCTACGATATAAACATTACTCCAACATGTGGGATTTTTGCACCTCTCTAAAAGGTGTCATAGCCTCACAAGTTTACATAGGAATAGGCTGTAATAAGCACTACGATCTCCTCTATAAGCCTCCCTTTTAAATTCTGGCACACAAGCTGGTAACTTCTTACTAAGTGCATTTTGCAAAGTTAAAAAAACCCAAACCAAAAAAACCCCCAAAGACAACACCCCAGGCAATGCTAAACCTATAGTCAGAGTTCTAAAAAAAAAAAAAAAAAAAAAAAAATTTTATTGCAATTATGAGGTTTTGCTTTTTGATTCCTGAAAATCAGCCAACTGGATAATGCAGTAGAACAGAGAAACCATACACAGTGTACACTTCCCTCTGCCATTACATTTAGTCTTTCAAATGACAATTACTCTTTTTCACAAAAAATGCCTCAGCAACAGCTAGGCACTCACTTAGACCCAAGGACTTCTTAGAATTTAGCACAGCAAATGGCACGTTGCAAATATGCCTGAAAAGGGGCATTTTTCCATCCTTTCATATTTTTGGATGAGAGACTGCATTCAAAGGAGAGGCAAGGCAGTACACACTCAAAAGCAAAATAAACCTTTGTTAAAGTTAGCACTTAGAACTGGTAGAATTCAGTGCCTCAAACATCACTGACAGGAAGCACTCACATGGATTTTTAAGCAAGATCAGGCAGTTTTAAAAGTACTAGTGCTGTTATTTTGCATAAAAGAATTTAAATAAAAAACATAAAAGGGGGAAACCCCCCCTCATGCTTCTGGAAAGCCCAGAGAACAGTCAAGCATTTGGTAATATGCCACAAGTTTGAATATGGCTTGCTTGTTGTTCAGTAATAATTTTCTGCCCTTATAATCAGAGTTCTCAAAACATAATAGAGTCTGGGGATCTTGGGAAGCTGTCCAGGGTTCCAATCTGTCATGAAATCTTTACTGATGCATAACATGCACTTTTAATCACAATGCCATAAAGATGGTGTTATCTCTGCAGCAGAAAACAAAAAACAAAAATAAACTTTAAACATCACAAAACATGCTGACTCTTCTGCACCTGGTACAAAAAGAAGCAAAATCCTTGAATAATCTACAGCACTGGAATCACTCATGCTTCAGAATGAGTTTGCTTGCAATCTAGTTACCACTTTTCCTGCAAAGGAAAACCTGCAGTCATTTCCAGTAGTAAAAATTGGAAATGGTTATTTATTGAAATTCCAATATAGTCATACTCTTCTGAAAATTCATTATGAAGTGATTTGCTCTGAACAAGAGACTGTAACAGTAGTCTATACTGCCATAACAGAGTTCTTCTGTATAGAGGAGATTTACTTTCTTCTGCAATCCTGTCGTGGTTTAACCCCAGCCAGCAACTAAGCACCACGCAGCCGCTCACTCACTCCCCCCCTACCCAGTGGGATGGGGGAGAAAATCAGGAAAAGAAGTAAAACTCGTGGGTTAAGATAAGCACAGTTTAATAGAACAGAAAAGAAGAAACTAATAATGATAATGATAACACTAATAAAATGACAACAGCAATAATAAAAGGATTGGAATGTACAAATGATGCGCAGGGCAATTGCTCACCACCCATGGATCAACACCCAGCTAGTCCCCAAGCGGCGATTCCCCGCCCCCACTTCCCAGTTCCTATACTAGATGGGACGTCCCATGGTCTGGAATACCCCGTTGGCCAGTTTGCGTCAGCTGCCCTGGCTGTGTCCTGTGCCAACTTCTTGTGCCCCTCCAGCTTTCTCGCTGGCTGGGCATGAGAAGCTGAAAAATCCTTGACTCTAGTCTAAACACTACTGAGCAACAACTGAAAACATCAGTGTTATCAACATTCTTCTCATACTGAACTCAAAACACAGCACTGTACCAGCTGCTAGGAAGACAATTAACTCCGTCCCAGCTGAAACCAGGACAAATCCCAAGCACAAATACAGGCTGGGCAATGAGTGGACTGAGAGCAGCCCTGCAGAGAAAGACTTGGGGGTGTTGGCTGATGAGAAGCTCAACGTGACCCGGCAATGCACGCCTGCAGGCCAGAAAGCCAAACGTATCCTGGGCTGCATCAAAAGAAGCGTGACCAGAAGGTGATTCTCCCCCTCTACTCCACTCTTGTGAGACCCCAGCTGGAGTACTGCATTCGGCTCTGGGGCCCCCAACATAAGAAGGACATGGGCCTGTTGGAGTGGGTCCAGAGGAGGACCACGGAGATGATCAGGTGGCTGGAGCACCTCTCCTGTGAAGACAGGCTGAGACAGTTGGGGTTGTTGAGCCTGGAGAAAAGGCGGCACTGGGCAGACCTTATAGCAGCCTTCCAGTACCTAAAGGGGGCCTACAGGAAAGCTGGGGAGGGACTTTTTCCAAGGGCATGCAGTGATAGGACAAGGGATAACGGCTTTGAACTGAAAGAGGGCAGATTTAGATTAGATGTAAGAAAGAAGTTCTCCACTGTGAGGGTGGTGAGACACTGAAGGAACAGATTGCCCAGAGAGGCTGTGGATGCCCCATCCCTGGCAGTGTTCCAGGCTGGATGGGGCTTTGAGCAACCTGGTCTAGTGGAAGGTGTCCCTGCCCATGGCAGCGGGGTTGGAACTAGATGATCTTTAAGGTCCCTTCCAACCTAAACCATTCTATGATTCTATGATGATTCTGTATTTCATGGAGGGGGACTGAGGAGTGCACACACAGAGCACGCAGCTGTACCACAAATATTCATGCAACCATTTTCCTCAAGTGCATCACCACTCTTGGTGCTATCTTAAACAGGACCTCATACATGAATTTCTGAACAGCTGGACTACTTAAATACAGCACGATTGAGCTTTCATCTCCTTTTCCATTTAGGACATAAACCAATAAATATTAGCAAATCATGTGGATACGGAGCAAGCTCTACTTACTAATGTCCAGACAGAAAATCTGCAACCACTTCCAAGTCACATTTCCCCACCACGCGTTTTGTTACTTGCTTCGAAACAACTGTGAATGAAGTCTTTTATCTTTTGAACAACCTTCACTTATATTTCTCTGGAAAAACTTGCACAGCGAATGCTGACAGACAAAATATGCCTCTCAAGAATTTTACAGGGCAACTGAAATCAAAAGCATGTCAACCAGACAGCAGCATGTATAATTCTGCTATGAAAAGCAGGAAAGTTTGAAAGACTTGACTATGAAGTCTGATGAGAGTGAACAGTGCATGCCCTGGCCTTAGTCTCAGACAGGGACCACCACCAAACTTTGGAGGTCAGGCTGGTCACTACCAAGTGTTTCTTTACAGAATTGGGCTGAGAAGTTGCTGCACACAACAGCATGCACTTTCCTCTTTCCTAAGTCTCATTTACCCTCAAGCTAGCTGGCAGTAGTGAATCTTTCTGCACCTTTCAAAGGTAACAAACTTGAACTACTACTACAACATGCAAGAGAAAGATCCTTTGATTCTAGAACCTAGCGCCATAAAGTCAGACTAGGGCTAGAGCAGGTCACAGTAATCATTTAATCTGACCCAATTTATAAAGAATTTTTTTTTTTTTTTTGTTTGTTTTTTTTTTTTTTTTTTTTTTTTTTTAGGATATTTAACAATGCTTCAAAGATCTACAGCAATGCTGAAATCTACTACTTGTTTTTCAATAGCTTTGTACACTGCTGGCAAATAGATGTGAATCAGTTCAGGATGCTCACAACATGAAAATAAGCTAGGTGAAAATTTTGAGAAATCCACAAAAAAGTAGACACAAAAAATGACTTTTGCTGAGTGTTAGCTTATTAATCCTGAACACAAAGAAAAAGCGAAGGAATTGTGCTGCTCAGTTGTTGAGGGGAAAAAAAGCAGAAATACAACAACATAGTTAACATAGTTACAAACTTCAGTTTAACATGATGAAATGCAGGAGTGCAGTTTGTAAAAATGCAATCTAGCAAGTTCCTCAAAAACCTATCACTCCATAGCAGGATTTGAGAAGGCAAAATTAACAAAAGCAAACTCACTGACACTTGAAGGAAAAGCCAACCACCACCTTCCACGGGTACCCTAAGACTAAAGTTCCCTATCATTATTTATATTATAAAGTTGCTACTGTTATTTTCTGATTACTGGACGGAAGCATGATAGAGCTTTTGCATAGACACTTACTGACACTTACCATTCTGCCCATTTAGCAGTTGCATTTTATTAAACCGTGAACTTGTCTTTCATAATACAAAAATTCTTGTCAATGACAGCATTCCTTTTTAAAGCTCCAAATTCTTCAAAAACACAGGGATACTTACGGAACATTGTATAGAACTGCTGTGGATTAAGGTTCCACTTTCCCCATGGTGTCTTGTGGCCTTTAGACTGGGCATAATGGGCATGGTTAAACTCTGGTTCAGTTCCAAAGGAATCCAGAACTCTTAGCATACACCTAAAAGAAAAAAAAATAAATTACTGTAGGTACACATGCATATGTATATATAAGCATGTGTGTGTACATATACAAAGTTACGATAATGAAGAAGGTATGTTTTGTTTTTGTTTGCAACTGTGGATGATTTATAAACTGAAGGTAAATTTTAATTTCAAACATTTCTGTTCATATTACATTCACAAAGACATTATGATCAGCAAATTCAAGGATATATCAGACATTCAAATAGCAACCCTGGAGCTTATTTTGGGTTTCTTTGTTCTTACAGAACGAAGTTATGCTTTAACATGCAAGTAGAGCTTATGGGAATGCTACTGTAGTCACCTACATTCCTGGGGCTCTGAAGTAGAATTTAGGCAGAAGAAAGGATTCTTCATCTTTTTTCTAATGTTCTCACCCATTACCACAAAATCAAATGCAATGGCCGAGGGCCACGTGCCAAGAAGATCAGAGCAGAACAGTACTTTGTCTTTAGACAATTGTATTTATTCTCCAGGTTCTGACATTTGGGTCAATTAGACCTACTGAAGAAGCACTAAAGACAGTTTAATTTGCTGAACACTTGCAGTCAAACAGATCATTTATTTGTTTATAAAACATTTTGTCACAGACTTTTGAAGAAACAATATAAAAGTCAAACGTCTGCAACAACCAGTCTACAACTGAGAGAAACCTTGGCATTGTATTACAAAGGGTCTGGGATGAGAGAATTGCACTCAGTCCTTTATTTAAGCTCCTATTAATTCCTTGAAAAAAAATTACTTCATTTACGAGTGGCTCCTTACAAAAAAGGGCCCATAGTACATGAAAGGCAGAAAAAGTCTCAGTATGAAGAAGACAGCATACATTCTAGCATACAGATTCTAGAAGTTATGTTTCCAAAATGCAGCCTGCCAAACCTTTAATATGGCTTGGACAGGAACTTTATGGCCATCATACTATTGGCTCCACTGCAAATGAATTAGATTATATGGCTCCAATCAACAAAATTTTCAGAAAAAAGTTATGTAGTATGGGTTCCTACATCATGTGCCACTATATTACAAAGACATGAACTCTTATCACTGCACATTGTATCACTGGGCTTGTACATGCCAAGGTGCAGACACAACCTCATGGGTGGCAGAGAAGGGAGGCAGCTGCAAAAGTTACTATTAAAAATGGTTATATTTCCCAGTCTTCAACATTTCCCATGCTCCAACCCCATATACATTCTGTCCAGTAAAACACCAGGATTTGGCTTTAAAATGGGAAAGAATTTAGCCCATTAGTGAAAGAACTTAGCTCCAAGCATTTTTCAGCTTTAAAAGATGAAAGAATTTAGTCCCAAAAATACATTTACATATTTATTATATGTTGCTCCTTTCTCTAAAGTATCCATTAAATTGGCAAATAGAAAAAAAAAGAAAACCAGCAACTTTTAAACTCTCATATGAAATGTTACCTTTGTATTTGAAAGTACAAATAGAACAAATTTCCTTTTTTTTTAATCTTTCAGAGATCTTCCAAGCAAAAAGAAAGTCAAAATATACAAGGCATTATGATTCACCAAACAACAGAGCTGACAGATCAGTTTCTGTGCAGTGTTTTATGTCAACTGTTCTCAATGAAAATATTTTACAACAGTGGCAATTATCTCTGCATCATACAAAATACTCCAGCAGGACCAAAACAACTTCTGCACTGATGAATCATTCAGTAATAAAAGCCCTCTTATTTCTTGGCAGGCCTTAAAACAAAATTCTTATCAAATATACAGCTTTTGGCCAGGTATTTGAGTACAGGGAAATGAAAAATGGGTGAACGCTACTGAAAAACTGCAACATAACTGGAGTTTGTCAAAGTGTATATGTAAGGAGCACTACATCGCATGTGATCATCTCAAAGTGCTTTGTTTCCTCTCTTTTTCCTGTATTCAGATGTAAGGTATGTAGCACTAATTGTTCATGGGGATATGCGTAACTATGTCCAATACACACAGGGTCTCTGAAGCAGGACAGGAAATGTGATGCAACAGAAACTAAGCTAAATCGGAAAGAAGGGAAAACAAGAAATATTTATATCATTCGGGCATAAAATAAGTTGGAAAAGAGAAAAAGATCACAGCAGAAAGTGCAAGTGTGTGCAGAAACGGTATGAGAGATCAAAGGTTCAAGTGGTGAACCTAATCCCCAAAATGCAGCAGAAAAGAACTGGTAAAGTAAAGATTTAAAATTTAGAAGTGAATGTAATTAATGCCAGTCATGCTGAACTGGTATTTTAACATATGTACAAATGCCTCAATTGTCTCCCAAGTACTATATTCTCCATTTGTTTCACTTAGTGGTTTAAATCTCTTTCAACTGAACTATTTTAAAATGAAAAGTTTGATTTTTGCATACAATATTTTAGCATTTCTAAAGTGAGATAATTCATTTCAAAAATGCAAAACAGTATTTTTTTTTAAATCAGGGATATATTTTAAATAAAATCTTAATTTAGTGTGATTTTAACTTCAATTTTTACTCCATTCTCCCTTCCTTCCTAAAATGTCCCCTAGCTTTAGCCCTGAAGTTGCAGAGAATTACAGCATGCCTTGGAATTGGTGTCGGACTGATTAGTCTATTCACTGACTAATTAAAAAGAGGATTGGTGGGTGGCAAACTGCTTATAGAAACATCCATATTAAAGTCTTCTTTCTTCTAACATATTAAAAGTGAGAACTTTGGGTCTTATAAAAAACAAACAGACAAAAGTAACCCAGGATTATCACCATTTTTAAAGTGAGCATTTTTCCATAAATATTGGGCACAAGCACAATCTTAACTGGGCTGTCCTAGTGGAAGTATTTATACACATTTATTCACATCCTTCTCCCTCCTGAGGGTATAATTTTTCTCTACTTACACATACTTCATCTTTGTTTAAACAAGCAATGCTGTCCAGCAGCACCCATCGCTGTCAGTAACTAGTGTTTATGCCAGCATAAACGGTTAAATAAAGGGTACATGTATGCCAGTGGCTGCAGACATGTTCCTGGGAGCAAGCTGGTCAAAACCCAACCAGTTCTGGTTTGGGAGCTCTGTAGGTGCACTGAGCTCAGGCACAGCAACGTGCCAGCACAGATACATGGACGCCAGACTGTTTTTGGCTTATGTCCAGCCAGCTCAGACCCTGAGCGGCTCCTATCTGCCTGTGGAAATCCTTGAAGACACACTCATTAACTTTCAGGCCACTCAGTACTTGCATTTAAAATGCAAAAACTTTGTCAGAAAATAACCCTCCTAAAACAGATGTATTCTAGAGAACATGTAAGAAGCAGGAATGTTGCTCTTTTTTCAGGATAGCTGTCATGTTAATTTATTTCAAGAATAAAGCCAGCTGGATTTTTGGCATATGGGAATGAGTCATTGCTAGAGAGACTGTAGAAAAATGAAAAAAATACCAGATTCTTACGTGCCGTATGGAGGATGCGGGTCCTAAGAAACGCAGTGAGCTGCACTCATCAAACTGTATCAAGCTACTAATTTTTATGTTGCTTTATTGCACATAAACTGCATTCAAATATCCAGACTTCAGAACTGAAAAATACAGCATGCCCAGGCATTCTGCTTGAAAATAAGGTGCACTCAAAAATGAGATCTGTTTTCCTATATTCATGCTATTTACAGCACCAATTATACCGCAGATAAAGCATCTGCTACCAAGAGTCATTGGTGCTACAGATCTCAGACGTACAGAACAGTATTTCAGTTGTTCAGAAATACTCAACCCTCAGAGCAGCAGGGTCATTCTTTTGAGCTAGCAGTTCTAGAAACCTGATTTTAGTTCTAGAAACCTAAAAATTTCCTCAGGGCTCAAGTTCACTCACAAAGATTATATACAGCACTCTTACCAAGAGACTGTTCTGAAGGCAGAGGTTTATTCTACCACTCTATTCCAATCTGAAGTGAATAAACAAGTTTTAATTAATTTGCATTTGAGTCTGGTCTGCATAAACCAGACTGAGCCGACCTGCACATATCTGCTGAAAAACTATATGGCACAAAGCAAAACACTTCTTTCAAGACAAAGAATTATTCCTACTGACATTAAATACAACTAAGAAAGCAAAGAATGTAAAGAACAAGGGCTATAAGGCAGCTTTATTTGTGATAATGTTTATTTTAGTGGAATGAATTAAACAAAAACATATAACTATGCTTTATACTGGACTTAGTAGTTTTAACTTAATATTTTAATGACAGAATTTATGAGGTAACTCATGATGCTGAGAAAAAAAAAAAAGATTGCAAGAGGATCCTCAAATAGGAGATAGCATGCCTGAAGCTATGAATTAATTCTTCTGTTCTAACCAATTCTGGTAGCCTCTGCTAGACTCTGGACCCTGTTTTGTACACTGAACTTGAGAAATAGTATCAAGTAATTAGAGAGATGCCCAACAGATGCAACAAGTTTGATGAAAGGTCTATGAAACCTGAATTATAAGTAATGATCCAAACTCCTAAATTTATTTTGAAGAAAAGCAAATTGAAGGAAAAGCAGTATATAAGATATTCTAGAGGCTAGCAGAGAGGGGAAGGAAGTAATTTATTCCCCAGAACCATATTAGAATAAGCAGTTATGGGCAGTTTGCAAGAAATCAGGCCAAGAAAAACACTTTAAAGAAAAGCTTACCAATACAAAACAATGGCTGGGGCATCTTTTGCAGTCTTCAGTAAAAGATCAGGCAAAAATCTCTCAAGAAGGACAAATACATCCGATCTACTTTTCAGCAAGGCTATGGACTAGATGAGGTCCCCTTCCATCCCATGACATCCAGTATTGTAGAAGACAGGCATTAAGTAATTTTCTTCTTCTTCAAAGGACTAACAAAACCTCCTATACTATCTAAGGTACTTATTTAGAGTTGAATTAAATTCTGCTTTCCTAAACCAGAAAAAGTCCATCATTACTACAAATTAGGAATCAATGAAAAACAGATTGACACTTAAGATTTAATGATACATGAAAAAAACCACGAAAAATTGAAGAGCTCATCTAATAATCTCAATGTCATGGTGTATTTCCATATCGTCATTACAGAATATACCAAATAGGAAATAGAAAGCAAAAAGGGAAGAAACATTTTAAATTTACAAGTATGTTTTTATATCCTGACCACAATACTGTATGGGATTGCCTAGTGACAATTACATCTGGCAGACAGACAACCAACTGTAGCTCAGTGGAAAATGGGATTATCTTTATTAGCAGGCTCCAAAAAAACAGAATATCCGTTTACTCCTCTGCTTCAAAAAAAGAGATTAAGAGTAATCTAATCTGCAACGTTGATCATAGTGCTCTCATTTAAAATTATGCTGAAAAGACCCAATGCTCTAGAAAATCCTGAGGTTGCAAGAAAACAGTTTTTCTGCCTGCAGTGAACACCTTTCAATACCTTCCTTCAAGTAGGATTTACTGGACTTTACGGCTCATGAAACACAGCTAATTTGATTAGGTATAGAAAAATCAAAGTCAGTAATTTAGATTTGGTTTTATTTCATGCTGATATGTATTCGTACAACACATGGGAGGCTTGCTAATTTAAAGTTATTGACAAAAAGAAACGTGGTTCTAAAGCTGCAGACACTAAGAAGGCTGTACAAAGTAATTTGTTCTGACCGCCATCTTCCATTTCTAATGGAAAGATGTTTATAGATTACAGAAGCAACAATAACTGCAGTTTATTCTTTAGACCTACCCCTGAAGACAAGTCTCTGCCCAGCATCTTAAGGAATGGAACAGAAAAAATTGCATTGCGGTTGTGGGGCAATAGAATTAGAATAGATGAATCTCCACAATCATTAAACCAGTACAGCTACAAACACTGACAAGCAAAACGTGCCTTTGGTATTCCAGCTAAACAACAAAATCCAATAATCTCTCATCTTATCTACTAATTTACAGAACAAAAGGTGGGGCAGGGTGTGTAAAGAAGGGAGGGAAAGAAAGACAAAGACGATGACTCAACAAGAAAATATAATTCATGAAGATTAAAAATGCTTGAATCCAAGAATCCCAAACTTGCTGGGGGGGTACAAAGATGGCATGCAACAAACAGGTAATAGCCCCTTTATGCCTAAGAGTGAAAGAGAACAGAGAACCACATTTTCACTTTTAAATAAATTCAAATTCATGTGAATGTACGCATTTCAGTATTTTGACATGTGTTATTCAACAAAAGCTCCTTCACAAAGCAGTTAAGAGGTCAAATAAGCGTTACACTTACTGGTAATGTACCCATGATGGACCAAGGGTTTTCTTAAACTGAGTGAGTCCCACAATATCAATGTAAATGAGTTCTACAACTTTATCCCCCTGGGTAGGGCAGCCAGATCTGTTACCTACAACCTTCTTCATAATCCTAAACAAAGAAAGAAGGAATATGGAAAAGTATTACTTTCCAAATACCTTGAATAGATGCTGTAACAATATTTATACCAATAATTCCCCTTTCCAGAAAAGCTTTACTCTTGTCTTTTCCAAATCAGGAACCATGTAAGAACATTCAAATGCTAAAGATGCTCAGCTTTTATTAAAGTAATGTTTATACATCAGTAAAGCACTAATTTTCACTAAAAACCTCATCTAGTTTAAACGAGAGTAATATGTTTGGAATGTTTAAAAATAGTTTGCTTTGAAATTATTTGAAATATTTTCTGACTTCTATTGACAGCTTTATAGTATAAGAGCTCTCTGTAAAATGATGCTGTCATGTTTGTTATAAAAAAAATGAAAGCTACAGAAAAAGTGTACATGCTTAAGCTTAAAACAGATGTTTTATGCCTAATGCTGAACTAGTATGCAAAGCAAGACAAAAATAAGTGAGGTAGCAATTTGACCTAACATAAGCAATTAACTACATCAAAAATAATGTGTTTAAAGGATTTAAACTTTTATTTTAAAATGAGATACTGAGTGAAGAATAGCAGAAACTGAAGAAGAGGACACAGAATTATGCTAGTCTGTAGCATTTCCTATTGCAGCTGGTTAAAGCACCTGGAATGCTAAAGAATAAGCTGCTTAGTTTGAATTTTACAGCATTCATTTATGAAGTCTCAGGAGCCTGAAGCTACAATGAAAACACATTACCCTTTTCACAGCACATACACTTAGCTCATGAAAATAATCTTATCATCTGTTTAGTGAATTATCACTTTCATTTTATGCTTCAAGAAATTATATACTGTTAATAGAAGCTTCAAGAGTCTACAATTCTTTTTTTTTTTTTTTTATTCCAGTTTCAAAAGTGAAAGTAATCTCCTTACTCCTTGAGCTCTGCCAGTGAAGCTGAAATCCTGATGTCATGGCCCAGTAAGTAGAGAGATGTAATTAAATCACTCCACTGGACTAATTCACCAAGTGGGCCACCGCTAAACGCATTTTCTGCAATCTTGAATCCAGATTCTTTCGTCAAAAGCCCCAGATGAACAAGAATCTAGAAAGGAAAGTCATATGTTAGAGTTCTCGACATTAAACATGCAACTATTATACCTCACAGCATTTTTTCTTTCTATTAAATTCCAACTATGGCCAAAAAATCAAACAAAAAAATCCAACACTCCCACCCTAATAATTTAACTTTGCAATGGATCTCTAGAACAGTAATTCTAAGAGCGTTGTTTTGCACTATTATCTGCCACCAGATCAGTAATTAAACAAACCCCCAAAACTGGTGTTATACACAAAATAATCTGTAATTCTGCACAGCAAGTTGTGGCTTACATTAACTTATTTTGATTGAATAGCCACTTATATTCTCAAGTAGGATATACTTGCTTATGCAAGACAGTATAGTTCAGGATGCTGTTGTGAACAAGCCATTAAGAACTTAAAAGACTGCATAAGAGTAACAGGATGCTTTCCGAACCTCTCCTCTCCATGGCCACTGGAGGAGAGTTTTCTCTGTAGTTCCTTGAAATCTGTGCTTGCCTTTCTAAAAAAGCACAGAAGCTGAGTTCCAAACACTGCTACATACCGGGACTATTATTTGAGTGTGGGTACATACAACGCCAAGCATAAAAACTTCCAAACACCAAAAAACTTCTCCCTCACTCTTTATAAAGAAGCAACATTCATAACCCCATTTTGTTCTAATCTCTTGCAGCTCCCAGAATTGAACTGGACATATTAAAATGAAATCATCATATGTTTTAGAAGAGCAACTTCAAAGGACTTTTAAAAGCAAAGAATAAGCACTAGAGCATCCCATGAAAACTGCCTGTGCAGTACAGTACCACTTCTGTTTATTCTTGAGTTTATGTATTCTCAGATGTTGTATTTCTTCAGTGAAACAGGCTGGAGGGCTGCTTGAAATAGAAGGGCTTCTCCTCGACAGAAGATGAGCCTACTCGAGGACTGTGCTATGTGACAAACATTAGAGCCACAACATGGAGCCTAGACCTCATGCAAAAACTGAGAATCTCAAGCAAGGAGCTGAGCTGCAGCCAGCCACACTCAAGAGAGGGTAGAAACAAGACTGTGCATGGCCTGCTGTCACTCAGGACTGCCTCCAGTAAGAGCAAGGCAGGAAGGGAAACCCATTGTTGTGTTTACAACTATTGCCTTTACCTTAACTAGTTGACATTATTAAAAAAAAAAAAAAAGGGAATTAAATAAAATAGAACTTTTCACTTCAAGAATCTCATGGTTTTTAAATTGAAGTCAACACAGGAGGTCTAAACTGATCCAATCCAAAGTTGTGGTCAACTTTAAGTCTACTCAAATTTAAACAGAAATACGCCATTTAAAGTCTCAATTTTGGACAAAAAACATGTACAATTGTTGTTTTTATGACTATGTGAAACACTCTAATGTCACCAGCTTGCAGTAAATAAACAGTTTCTCCCTTTAGAAACTTCTACATAGTCTCTATTCAAAATTAAAGAGGGTAGAAAACTTACTCAAAGATTGACTCATGGAAAGTATATAAAACTATTTGTAAAGCAAATACCCAATGTAACAGTAATTTCAAACAGCGAAATACTTCTTGAAAAGAGGCACAAGTATAAATACGATGCCTTTTAGACATATTTGGTATTTCCACTCTGAAGTAGCTTCTGGAACAAGAAGCTTAAAAGAGCCTATATGACTACAAATGGCAGGACTGAAAAATGTTTTCATCTACCTTTTTTCGTTTTCTCTTCTCCAAATTTTGTTTTTCTGCAAGTGATTTAATTGCTTCAATCCAGGTATCAGCCATTCGTCTGATGCGTAACATCATCCACCTGAATTCCTCATGTCTTGACATCATTTTGTAGAGATTATCAAAGTTGATCCGAATTTCAGCCTTCAATTAAAGCATTAAAAAACATTAATTATTCTTCAAATAGTGTACTTTCCAGAAGTGAAAAATCTTGTCAAATGTGAACTCTGTGCTTTACATTCCTCATTAAAGAAAAAAAAAAAAGAGACACTCCTAATGCTAAAGTTGTGGTTTTAGTTCAAATATTTCAGATATCTTTAAATAGACATTTCTAAGCCACATAAATTACTGTTATTTTTATTAGTAGTATTGGTAGCCCCAGAATATGTTTGCAATATTTCACAATGTATTTTTTTCTGCAATATAACATATGGTTTTGTTCATGTGCTTCAAAATGAGGTTAAAGTATCTCTAACACACAATATAAAATCAGAACAGTATGCTGAAGATTCATGTATATCATGAATCTTCCAAATACAAGGAATTGTCCTATTATACCATGAAGGAAGAAACATTACTAGAGTATAAATTTTAAAGGAAATACTCATTTTAAAACTAGACTGATCTAAGAACAACTGGCCTTACAAAATGAGACACACTATGTCTAAATTATGTAAGCAATGTTCACATACAGCCCGGAAATTATCTTAAAATACCTAAGTGCTACGTAATAAGGCTACAATAGTTTGGAAACAACTCTGCATACTGTAGAGCTTTTAAAGGAAAAAAATTAGGAGTACTCAAAATGTTACTACAAAAAATGAAATGTATATAAGCCTCTTCCGTTAAGGCATTTTTATATATAAGGCCCGGATTTATGGGACAATAAAAATGGACAGTTTCACATATGGTCACTCAACACTGGTGAACAGTCTATGGATTTTCAATTCTTCTCAGTATCTGTGTACAATATTTCATATATTTAAACAGAAAAATGTTTTTAATGGAAATCTGCAACCAAGACTGCAGCACGGTACAATGACTGGAGAAAACACACGATGGATGAGCTACATATACACAGCCAAGGATGCTTCCCTTCAGTTTTGAGGAACTGAGGAATAAAAATGGTAAATTCTAGTCTTATTAGCACTTATGTGGCCCAGGATTCCAGGATCTTTTGCATGAATCACAATTACTGAATTATTTCTCATGTTTTAATGTTGTTCTTACCACTGTTTTTTGATCAGTTTCTTCATTAGAATTTTTTGCTCTCCAAGGTAAACGAGGACACCAATTTTCAACCTGTAAAACAATCACATGAAAATAAATGATTCTATTCTATTTTCAGCTGATCTACCAAAGTCTCTCACTGCCTTTATATTACACCTTTCTATGGCTTAAATAAGGCATCAGCTGATTAGTAAGCCACCACAAGGTAAAACTGCTTTTTTGAAGAAAAGCTTAAGACGACTTTTTGCAATTCAATACTATTTTAACCTTGCAAATTTGCAACCAAAAGTCATATTTAGATATTCGTTCATGATAATGAATACAGGAGATAAAACCCTTTCAAGACAGAGATCAGCTGTTAAATGCTCTAAATACAGTTTCTCTGAGCAGTTCCTAAATGTTTTCAAGAAGTACTAAGTTTTTTTAACTTCTAGACCTTAAAAAAAAAATACATATTTTGGAACATTTCCCATCTCCCTAGAATATCTTTACAAAAAGGCAAAGCCAGAAAAACCCCAAGGATCAAAGTTCTACTTTGTAGCAACCTAGACAAAAAGCTGAAAGAAAAATAAAACCAAACCCACCCTATTTGAAGGGTATAAGTAACATAATTATAACATAAGTAACAATATCCACAAGTACTTAATAGCTGTAATCCTTAGAGAAACATAATCAGTGCAAATGCAATACTTCCACTATTGTCTAGTAGAAAAAGTACAACAGCTAGTAGTTAGGGAAGAAACAGCAAATGCAAGTCACTGAAAGCTCCTGTGCTCTCCCTAGGGATCTTGCTTGTCCTGTAGAATCTTTATTATTCATGTGCCTTAAGAAATTAGACCATTCGCATTTCAGAAGAAGGAATCTCACTGTTGGAGGCAAACCCATGAAACCAGAAACATAACTGTACTGCGAAAAGGGAGAAATGCAAAAATTTATAGGCCAGCTAAGATACCCCATCGCTACTGATAAAGTTCACAAGACCCAGAGAATTAGAAGTCAGAGTTGCTCTTATGGTTCCTCCCATCATAGACCCGTCAAAACACACAGCCTAATCATGCTGCAGTTAGCCTGAAGCATTAGAGACTAAAAGCTTAAGATCATACCAAACGATTGCCTAGAAGACCAATCACATGAAAATAAGTTATCAGACATCATAACCTCATTAAAAAGAAGAAATGTATCAAGCTTAGGATCCTCAGACAAATTATATAAAAAGCATTCAAATTAAATGCTATGACCCAATCTACTCAACGTATTTAATACAACATTTGAAAGCAGTGACTTGATCAACCTTGTTTGAAAACATCTGATTCTTCAGTGGTCTCCCACTCTGGAAACATACTAGAAATTATAGAAATTAAGAATCCTAACTTTTACTAACCAACCTAAGCTGTGGAATCACTGGTAGAAAAGAATTGCAAGCTCCATATTACATATAATGCACAGTCCCAATCTCTCTCTCTCTCTTTTTTTAAAATAGTACAAATAATTTTGAATTATTCCTAGCATTAAAACTGATCTAAATTAAGATATGATATTTCAAGGACTACTGTACGTGCCCCTTCTCTGGCTTCATGTATTTCACACTGCACCATCAGGCTTCCTAAAGGAATTGAAGATTTTTCAGAGCTGCCAAGGACAGTTAGCTGCATGCCTCACTGACTGAAACCCAAATATAGTTCTTTTGTGCTTTTAGAAGTCATCCCTCTAGTCTAAATTAAATTACAGTAATTCTAATCACAAATAAACACTTAAGGAGTAGACTCAAAATAATATTAGTGTACACAGTTGGCCTAGCACTCATTTTTCTTTATTGATACTTAAGTCAGTTCCTCTTTGCATTGGAAAGACCAACTTAACTCACCAGAGGATTTTTAAACCCATACTCTTCAAAGTATGCCAGTTGTTTTGTTATTTTCAGTACCGATAAATGCACTGGGGAGAATGCATAGACATTCTGTTATAGAAAAAGGAAAGAATTCTGCTCATTTTTATGAGCCAATGGCTCACAAAGAGCTGCTAGATTGGGAGGATAATAATTAACAAGGATGCCAAGAAAGCAAAGATGGAGCAAACCTGGTGTACCATGGGAAGGGGAAAGAAGAAAAAACCTTATTAATTTAACGTATTGACACATGGAAAGCGGGGATGGAAAGGCAAAATACTGGATGTCAAACTAGCCAAACTTTAATAGTGAATTTCTTGGGCAAAAAAGACCAGGGGTATATATGCCCCTAAGATGGAAACATTATGATAGCAAAACCAGCCAAAATGCTAATACAGATTCTGTTGTTCAGAACATGACTTAAATTTGCAGATAATTAAAGAATCAACTTGAATTAATAGCTCATGGTTCCAAGCGAAACTGAGAGGCAAATCAGAATATGATTAGAATGATGGCAGAGGGCAGAACATGAAAACACTCAACACTGAAGCTCATGCACCAGAAGACACTTTTAAATCATAGTAGATATTACCAGGCAGATACAGAGCAAAGAAAGCAGAAGTGAAAAACTACAGCAGGGAAGTTACACAAGTCATAACATCCATATTTAGAGGTGCCTAGTACTCAAGAAATATCACACTTCCAACAAAACCAAGGTTTTCAGAGAAAACAGAGGTATTTCCCTCCATCTCTGGTTCTTGCTTCCCTGTTTAGTGAGAGCAGCAGATGATCAAGAGTCTATATATGCTTCGGTGAAAGGGAGAAGGGTTTCAACCTATGCAACTACACAAGGTATCAAAGACTTCAGAGACAGCCTTTGTAGAACTATTGGAAAAGGAAACGATAGCATTGACAGGCTTCTACTACAGAATTAAAAAGCGTGCTGATTTGATGTTACTTATACAAGATATCTAGCAGGCTGCTAAGTTTTATTGCTGCTTTCCTCAAAAGCCACAGCAATTGCATTTTTATATGCATTTAAAGTAAAAAAAGCTTCCAGTTAACCGTGGTTTTGCATTGCACTATGTAAAATTAAAGTCTACAGCAGTACAAAGCCTCAGTAAAGACTGCTTAAAAATCCTGTAAAGAAATAGTACTCAATATTTTGTGTCAGAATTAAAAGCAACAGTTTGCACTAACCTAGATGAGTAACAAAATTAACTTTGTGTTCCTCTCTATTTAGCCCCATGTAATGATACACAGCAGTGCAGAATACATACTATTTCTGTTGCAAATAATTTAAATAATCAAACTGTTGGCCTTTTTCAAGACAACCGCTTTCTGCTCTTTCCTTCACCCTTTCATTACTTGGCCTTCCTCTCTTGCCCAGTGTACCAATATTCAATCTGAGCACTTAACCACTTCCTGTCCAGAACATGCAATCTCTCACTTTTAAGCCTAGGAACTACCTCTAATTGCAGCTCTTGGCAGGACCTACAGTTTCATGAGAACTTCAGATGACCTAGAAAGTGGGTGGGTGGGGTTTTTTTCTTGGTTTGTTTTTTAAATAACCAAGTATTGCCACTTCGGCAAATCACTTCAGGGTTTCTCATAGAGAACACCACAAGGATGCCCACAACTAAATATGAAACCTAAGTGGTTAAGTAATTTTCTTGGTTGCCTTGCATGACCCAAATATGGCCCACAACAGCAATGCTAGCTGTACTCATCATCTCTGAACAAGTCCTGCAGCTGCTCTTCTCAGATTCAGACTATTAACCACTGCCATGGGAACTTCTCTGAAAACAGATAGGTGCTATAGTTATTGAAAAATGCAGGAGGATGCCTAGGAAATTATCTTTTTCCCAGCAAATACCAGTGAAACCTTAATCAACTTTTCTCAGACTTACTGATGTAAGGTAAGTCAGGTTTTATTTCAGTGAGTACTGACTTCCAACTATAGATGTGGGAGAAAGGTAGGTAAGGAATGTCTAAAACTGCTCAGATTGACTTGAGTGGAGGCCTTCAATCTCCTTCGTCTTGTGTGACAAGTAAGCAACAGTGATGCAAGCTCTGTGAAAAAACCTGGTGCCTGGAACTTGCTTTTCTCCCCTTGCTCCCAAATTGCCTAAAGAAGCCCTGTCAGCTTTCATTGAAACTACAAGGGATTAGGCAGAGATAGGGCAGGGAACGTGAGGGGAGGAACTGGGGACTTTGTTTTGCAACACATTTTCTGGAAGCTCCTGATACAGAACGGGGTGACAGGGGAGGGGAACCTGCTTTGGTTGATAACTCATAACAAAAAAGTTTGCAGAAAATGCAACAGCATTAAAGCATAATGTGTCCTGCACCAGGAATATCTGTAATTAAATAACATGTAGAATGGGAAAAAAAGCATGTGCGTGTGTATACATACAAATGTGTGTATAGATGTGTATGTATATCGTTATAAACAGGAACATGATATAGCATGTGCTAAGGTTGCAGCATGCAATTACAAATCTGGTATTGTTCCATTCATATGCGACTTTTCTCTGTCATTGGCAATGACGACAGGAAGGATTATGATATCACTAAAGTGGGCCTAGATGAAATCTCCATCAGAAATATACAAATACTTCAGCTTTGTATTTGTTTAGGTACAGAACAGCCACATGCAACCAGCCCTAAGTTTGAGCAAGGGGAAGGAGGGCAGTGGTGTTCATTTGGATCCTGCTCTTCAACTAGTTTGAGTTTCATTTGATCATTTAAGACTAAACACAGAAGTTGTCTCCGAAGAAGGAACCAGGACTCTTCTTCCCTCTCTCCAGGATAACCTTCCTCTCACTGTGTTAGCATCAGTTCTTTCTCTAGCTTATTCTCTCCATAGCAACCATTACACTGTCATGCACATGATTTAATAGGAAGCATGTGATATCAGACTGCAGATTAGCAGTTAGAGAAGATTGCTGGGAAGCAGCAACTGCAGATTTGAAGACTAACCATTTTTTGGATGAGTGATATAAATGTTAAGCTATTATTCAGAACACATTATATTTACCTTTGCACTATCATATTTTTCAGTAAGATCAGTTGTACCTCCTGTACCTAGTGTTGAATTCAATGCCAATCAAATGCAGTAGGTAGTCTTTGATCATGCTCAAGAAACTAGGTCCACTTGAGAAGTCAAGTGTTCCCTACTTGGTTT